TCATGGTGGAGGTCCCCACTGGGGTGCCTGGCCAGCCTGGGTGAGGGGATGATGGCTGTTTGCAGCTGGTCACACACCCTTCAGGGTGGGGGTCCCCACTGTGGTGCCTGGCCAGTCTGCGTGAGGGGCTGAGGGCTGAAGCTCCCAACTGCTCCTTTTTTTCTTTTTTTTTTATTCTGGGCCAGCTTTAGCTCTGGCTCCAGCTCTGAGGCCTCTGCTGCTGCTGAAAGCAGGTATCTGGTTTGTTTGGGTTCTATAATCCAAACAATGTATAACTCCAGCTCTGAGATCCCGGCTCGCTGAAAGCAGGTTTCTGGGGTTTTGTTTAGCTTCTATATTTGTTACAATGTTTCAAACTGCAGGCTCAGAGGCCGGCAAGGCAGGCGGGGAACGTTGGTTTCCTCCGTCACTGAAGCAAGCAAGTCTCATGTTAGTTTCAAGCTGCCTGGTTGCTGGCCGCCATCTTGGCTGGCAGTTAATTTGCATATCGCCCTGATTAGCCAATGGGAAGGGTAGCGGTCATATGCTAATTACCATGTTTCTCTTTTATTAGATAGGATACCTTTTAGTTCTAGTAACATTTATTATGTTTAAGACTATGTCATCTTATATTAATACTAGAGGCCCAGTGTACAAAATTCATGCACAGGGGTGGGGGCGTCCCTCAACCCAGCCTGCACCCTCTCCCATCCGGGACCCCTTGGGAGATGTCCAACTGCCTCTCGCAATCTGGGACTACTAGCTCCTAACTGTTTGCCTGCCTGCCTGCCTTCCTGATCGCCCCTAACCCCTCTGCCTGCCTGATTGCCCCTAATCACTTCTGCCTGCCTGCCCGATCACCCCTAACTACTCCCCTACTGGCCTGATTTCCCCTAACCACTCTGCCTCACCCCACACCTGGGACCCAGGATTTCCTCCTCCGGCCAGTTGCAAGCACCTAGGACCTGGGCTTCCCTCCCTCTGGCTGGCCACAGGCACCCAGGACCCAGACCGGCTTCACCCAGGCCAGCCGCAGCCTCAGGGGACTGTGGTCAGGCAGCTTGTCCCTTTCCCTGGCCAAAGCCACAGCCCCAGCCCCAGCCACTGGTGCCCGGGACATTGGGCAGGTGGCTTGTCCATCTCCCAGGCCACAGGCGCAGGCGTAGTCACTGGAACCTGGGACCATGGGGTGAGCGGCTTGTCCCTCTCCCTGGCCACAGTCTGGCTGGTCCCCATTCCTCTCTTGCTAGCTCATTTGTGCCTGGCTGGTCCCCATTCCTCTCTCTCCAGTGTTGAGTGTCTGAGCCATTACAGCATGGCGGTGTGAAGGCATGATGACCATTTGCATATTAGCTCTTTATTATACAGGATAGCAGTTCCATCTTTCTTAAGATTACTGTTGGCATGGAATCTTTTTTATACTTTTACTTGTAATGTATAGGTATCTTTATATTTAAAGTATATTTCTCATAGACAACTTATTTTGGATCTTGTTATTTTACCTATTTTGAAAAATCTCTGCATTTTAATTGGGGTATTCAGGCCATTTATGCTTAGCATAATCATAAGTACTCTGTTTAAGTTTACCATATTGCTATTTGTTTTCTAGTTGCCTCATCTGTTCTTTGGGAGGTGTTTTACCCCTCTTTTTATGCCATCCTTTGGATTAATTGAAGTTATTTTAATGGTTTTTCTTTTACATCTACATTTGGGATTTTTAGCTATGTCACTTACTTTGCTTTGTTTTGTTTTGCTTTAGTGGTTGTTCTAGGGATTACTCTATGCATTCTTAACTTATAGTCTGTCTACCTCCAAATAATATTACATCACTTTCTGTAAAATCTAAGAACCTTACAACATTATACATGCCTTCCCCACTGTGTATCCCTGTTCATATTTACCAGGCTCACAGCATGGAGGAGGGAATTATATGATCATCCCAAATGATGCAGAAAAATATATGATAAAATAAAAACTTATAGATAACTAAGAAGAAAAGGCACTTCTCTAATCTGATAAAGAGCATGTATGAAAAATATGCAACTAACATCATACTTGATGGAAGACTAAATGCTTCTGCCTCGAGGTCAGGAACAAACAAGGGATATCTTCTTTTCCCATTTCTATTCAACATTGTGCTGAGAGGTAGGGAATGGAGTCTTGCTCAAAAAGTTAAGAAACAAGAAATAAGAGTAATACAGATTGGAAAGAGGTAAAACATTTTATTTGTAGACTAGTAGCCCAGTGCATGAAACCTGTGCACATTGAAAGGGAATTAATTAGAGGAAATATTTTAATATTGCTATTTGCCCTTTCTCTATAATAGAAGTGTCAGAGATGAAAGAAAATTAGTAAAATGTATATGAAAATCTTCCTCCTGTCAGAGTCTGGGGCATGCTGTGGGACCCAGAGTCAAGTCCTTGCCCACCCACTTGCTCCTCGAAATCACGCAAGACTCAAACCCAACCAGCCCCACCCTGTCAAGCTCCGCCAGGTGGGGAACACAGCCTCAGGTCCCCTGTCCTGACGCTGGGTGGGGCGCACAACCTCAGGGCCCTCATCAAACCTCACCAGGCAGGGGCGCACCCTCAGGTCCCCCAGCCTGGTGCCATGGCAGGGGGCATGGCCTCAGGTCGCCCAGCCCGGGGCAGAGGTGTGACCTCAGGTCCCCCGGCCCAGTGCTGAGGCAGGAGGCATGGCCTGAGGTCTCCCGACCTGAGCCGGGGTGGGGGGCACACTTTGAGGTGCCCTGTCAAGCCCTGCCGGGCAGGGGGCACAGCCTCAGGTCCCCTGGCATACCCCCAGGTCCCACCCAGTGCCATAGCAGGGAATGTGGTCTCAGGTCCCCCGGCCTGAAGTGGAGGCACGGCCTGAGGTTCCCCGTCAAGCCCCACTGGGCAGGGGGTATGGCCTGAGGTCCTCCAGCCCTGGCCAGGGCAAGGAGCACAGCCTGAAGTCCCCTGGCCTGGCACTGGGACAGGGGGCAGCCTGAGGTCTCCAGGCCTGAACCAGGGTGGGGGGCATGCTTTGAGGTCCCCCATCAAGCTCCTCCAGGCAAGGGGTGTGGCCTGAGGTTCCCTATCAAGCCCCACTGGGTGGGAGGCGCAGCATCAGGTCCCCTACCCCAGCCCAGTGCCATGTAGCCTTAGGTCCCTGCTGACCCCTGGTTATAGCTCATTATGGAAACCCCTGCTTCTGCTGTGGGCTCAGCCATCTTGTGATGGTGTGAGGGTTAATTTTCATATTACCTCTCTATTATATAGGATTTCTATTTGCCTTTTCTCTATAATAGAAGTGTCAGAGATGAAAGAAAATTAGTAAAATGTTTATGAAAATCTTCCTCCTGTCAGAGTCTGGGGTGCGCCTCCATACCCAGAGTCAAGTCCCTGCCCACCCACTCACACCTTGAAATTGTGCGGAAACCCAGACCCGGCCAGCCCCACCCTCGTCAAGCCCTGCAGGGCAGAAGGCACAGCCTCAGGTCCCCCTCAAGCCCCGCTGGGTGTGGGGCACAGCCTCAGGTCCCCCATCAAGCCCCACGGGGTGTGGGGCACAGCCTCAGGTCCCCCAGTGCAGCCTCAGGTACCTTGGCCCGGCACTGGGGCGGGAGGCATGGCCTCAGGTGCCTTGGCCCCGGTGCAAGAGTGTGAGGGCCCGAGGGTGCAAGGGCTTGACAACCATTTGCATATTAGCTCTTTTTTCTATAGGATGGAATAATTGTGTACGTAGCTAATCCTAAGGAATCTACAAAAATTACTACTAAATATAATATGCACACAAAATGCAAGGTCATTATACACAATTTAATTGTATTTCTATATACCAGCAATGAACAATTGAAAGAAGAAAAATTTAAAACAGTACTATTTGCAATAGCATAAAAATAAAATAATTTAATAAAATATGTATAAGAACTGAATGCTGAAAACCACAAAAGTGAGAAAAATTAAAGAGATAAACTATCTTTGTTGATTGGAAGACTCAATATTATTAAAATATCAATTATCTCTAAATTTATCTACATATTCAAGGCCATCTCATGTAATTTTTACATGTTTCCCTATAGAAAACTTACAAACTAATTCTAACATTTACATTAGGATACAAAGAATGTAGGATGCCCAAAACAATTTTGAAAAAGAAGAACATGTATTGCCTGATTTTAAGTAATACCAAAAAACTATAGTAATCAAGAAAATGTGGCATTAGCATAAGAATAGGCATATAGATCTATTACATTATCTATGAATACAGAGTCCAGAAATAGAACCACATATATACGGTTAATTGATTGATTGATTGATTTTTTTACAAAGGAGCCAATGAGAGAAAGCATATCATTTCAGTAAAGGATGCTGAAATAAACAAACAAAATAAACCTCAATTCTTACCTCACACTTTTCACTAAACTATTTCAAAATGGATCACACACCTAAATGTATTTGCTAGTATCAGAAAACTTCAAACAAAACATGGATAATCTTTATAACGTTGTGTTAGACAAAGACCTTAAGTAAAACACAAAAATCTTGAAGTATAATTTACAAAATTGATACTTTGGGCTCCATCAAAATTAAAACTTTCTGCTCTTTGAAATACACAATTAAGAAAATAAAAAGGCAAACCACGGACTAGAAGAAAATTATATATGACAAGGATTTGCATCCACTTCATGTAAAAGACTCTAGCAACTCAATAATAACCCAATTACAAAGCGGGCTCCATTTAAACTGATATTTCATAAAAGAAGATTGGTCAATAGACACATGAAAAATGCAAATATCACTAGCTACCAGCAACTGCAAATTTAAACCACAATGAGATACTACTATGCACCCATTGGCATAGCTAAAATGAATGGATGAAACCCTTCTGTAGGGTAATGCTCCAATACTTAGCCAAAGCCTTAAAAATGTAAATAGTATTTTGATATTTTTTCTCATTTGTTTCTAATGCTTTAAGTAAACAATTTAAATGTACAAAAGTTTAGCTACAAGAATGTTCATCTAACTATTGTTTATTATAGGAAGTATGGAAAACAAACTAACAATAGGAAAAAGGTAAGTAAATTATTTTCATACATCAAATGTCATTCAGCCACTAAAAAAGATAGAAAATTATATTTGTTTATATCAAAATACATTCATAATATCCTACTTCATTAAAAAAACTTCTTATGAGACTATCATATCTTTTTTTTTAAATATATTTTATTGATTTTTTACAGAGAGGAAGGGAGAGAGATAGAGAGTTAGAAACATCGATGAGAGAGAAACATCGATCAGCTGCCTCCTGCACATCCCCCACTGGGGAAGTGCCCGTAACCCAGGTACATGCCCTTGACCGGAATCGAACCCGGGACCTTTCAGTCCGCAGGCTGATGCTCTATCCACTGAGCCAAACCGGTTTTGGCCATATGATCTTAATATTATACAAAAGCTCACAATAAAAAGGTATGAAAACAATGCGTTATTATCAGAAGTTTTACCTGGATGATTAAAATGTTATGATTTTTTTTCTGCTTGTAGTTTATCTACATTTTCTCATTAATTTAAAATATGCATATAATGTTTGTGTCATGGCAAAAAAAAATATAGGAGTTTATGATGGTATTGCAATTGCTGTGTTGTTCTTAAAAAGTAAAATAAAGAGTAGAATGGCTAGGCCAGGTACTATGTGGAACATGATTGAGATAAGCAATATTGATGTAATAGCGGCCTTAGTGTTTGTCTGAAAAAGACACTAAACCCAAGTGGGGAGTATCCTAGGTCCTGCCATTGCCATCTGACCTCTTCCTATTTCAGGTCTTCCTGGCATGAATTTTGTCAGTTCCCTCAACCAATGGGCTCTTTTTGATAAATCAATTTTGAAAGAAAGCTGCTTTAGGAAGAGCAACCAACATTAATGATGACAATATAGTAAATTTAGGCTGAAATGATTTCATCACTTGAGAATGTGAAATCCTCTGCAATATTTAACTACCACGAAGAAAAGAGCTGTCTAGCATACAATATAAGCACCTGACAGCTTTGCCTGGTATAAAGGATAGATGCTGGTAGATCTTAGCACCTAATGGATGGTATGCATTTAAAAAGTCATCACAATAGAATACCTTTGGTTGGAATTCCTTGAGAACCTTTCAAATGTCTCATGGCCGTTTAAAATATTTTGAGCGCTAGAACTGAGAATTGTTATGTACGTGAGGTATGACAGCTATGTGTAGTCTTATAAGGAAAGATTCAAAGAATTGGACTAAATAGCCCGGTGAGAAGAAAGATGAAGAAAAATGCAATAACAATCCTAAAGAATCTGAAAGATTATTATACATAGGCTGTTTCCCAACTGCTCTCAATACATGGAAGGCAAAGCTTTTGATTCAGCAAGAAGGAGTTGAATAAAACATGGTTAAGAACTTCCTGATTCAACACTGAAATAGGCCAAATAGTGGATAAAATATTCATTCTTAGAATAGACAACCCACTGTTTGATTACCTGGATCAAAGAATTAAACAAATGCTCATTATGTTTCCTTCTAGTCAGTTTGTAAAAGCACAGAAGGAAGTTACTGAAATAGCCACAAAGTGCTTAGTGTTAATTGTTCTAAATGTCACATATAAGAATGACATTGAATACATGTAGAGCTCTAGACATTGCAGAAGCTGTATTTTTAGACTTAAAAATGCATCCAACCAAAAATGCTTTCTAATGCAAAGAAATTAAGAATTAGCATATACACTGCACCTTAGAATAAAATTTTGAAGCATGCTATCATACAGCACCAACCACACTAATGTCTAAACTTTTGTCAAATGTCAAGCAATAAATCAAGTGAGTTTGTGTGACCTTCTATAGAAGCCAGGCTCCTCCAGTTCTGGTCACAAACAATAAAAAAGCTAAGGAAATTCATTGATTTTCCTGAACCACTTGAAAATGACACTTTCTTGTTTGGAACTGTTCCAACACCTAAGGTGCAGTGAGGTCTCAGTAGTCAAAATATTCAAAAATAACAAAACCAGCCGAATGGGGTATTAAACACACCCTGGTGAAATTAGTCATCGAAACAGGCTGGTAGTGCATTCAATTAAAATGACTTCAGTTTATTTAAGACTCAGCCCATGAAAAACGTTCCCCAAAGCTTCAGCTATGAATAGTTTTCTTGTGCAGTTTTCCTGCCGCTTTCCAAACCTTAGCCTCAGGGCCCCAAACATTGTGCATAAAGCACAAGAGCTTGGCAGTGAGACTCAAGGGTCTGGAGGTTTGTATTTTCTTCTACAAAGCCTTTAGGAAAACAAGCTGCTAGCAAACTTTTGTGTCCCACTCAAATTCCAGGGTCCCAGAGCAGTAATTAACGATTAGCTTTGGCCCCAAAATAAAGCACCAATATATTTTGGCAAAGAGGCAAACACAACACATAAGGCGTTTCGCATTAGTTAATGAACAATTATTAATTAGTCAACTCTGAAATAAATAGCCATCTTCCATTTTGCCAGAGACTGTTTACTTCCAAATTACTCCCTCATTACCAGTAACAACCAATTTAGAGCTGTATTATGGCATCAATTTTATTAATGTCACACTGATAAGGCTAGCATAATAACTAAATGGCATACAGCTGTTAAAGAGACTTTTTTATGTAGTAATAATGTATTTATGGTAGATTTTAATATTCTATGTCTTCAGCTGCAATGCTTTATATAGAGGACTGGCTAAAAGATTAGCCAGTAATGAATCTATCACTCTTTTCTCATAATAAAGTCTTAAGTAACATATTTTTTGCATTTTGCAAAGATGTTTGTGTATGTAAACCTTTGTTACCAAAGTCTTATTGTTAGGCAATATTATTATTTATAATTTGCAAAACTGCTCAATAAGAAGCTTGGTAATATATTTCTGTGTGATTTATGGATCCCTCTGAAAAGGAGATAGAATAATATATTTCTGTTTTTCCAGTTAGTTCTGTGTAGAAGGTGAGCAGTAAGCAGTTTCTACAGTGACTATTGCAGCTAATTAAGGATGATATTGGGCAGACTCCTAATATTTTTGTTTTACTGGTAAAAAGAGAAAACTTTAAGAAATAAGCATTCAGCTACAAAAATAATCAGAACAGAACAGCTACAAATAGATGGGTTGCACATTTGTAAAATCTATATGTAAAAATCTAGATGTATGTAAAAGACAAAAGTGCTTTTACAAAAAAGAACTCCACTGGAAATCCTTAAAATAACAAGCTCCCCATGGTGGTGTTAACTGTAAGTGTTGATATACAACAAACTTGGCAGGAATACACATCTTACTTAAGAAAGTGGCAGAGAGGAGAGTGGAAAGAGGGCAGTCCTTGTAATCTAAATAGACCTAAATTCAAATTCTATGAGTGTGGGAAATTCATTTCTGAGAACCTCATTCCTCATCTACAAAAAAGGGTTAAAAAGCTATATTTGCAGGGTTATCATGATGATAAAATTACATAAAGTATGTAAAATGCAAGATTTACAGGAAGTACTCAATTAGTACCACACACATATATAAAAACTAGAGGCCCGTTGCACGAAGAGATTCATGTAATAAGCCTTCCCTTCCCCTGGCTGCCGGCATCAGTTTTCCTCTGGCACCTGGGACCCAGACCTTCACTGCTCCAGCCGGAGCCTTCAGTCTCCACTCCACTGCTTCGCGCCTATGTATGCAAATTAACCGCCATCTTTGTTTGGGTTAATTTGCATACTTTCCTGATTGGCTGGTGAGCATAGCGGAGAGACAGTCAATTTACATGTTTGTCTATCATTAGGTAAGATATACTCTAAGGAGTGACAGTGTTGGGAACCTAAGAGGGAAATCCTTCGTTCAGACTATGCACTGAGTAAATTCCAGTTCACTGAGCATCATTCACGGGCCACATGTGGTAAGTTTCTCTACATCTCTCTTTTTCTCACAAAGGTATCTACAGGACTCTATTGGGTGGCGATTTGGTTGTCTTTTTCTTATGAATTAAAATGAAAAAAGAAGAAAGGAAATGACTTTTTCAAAGAAAAATTATGAAGTTATTTCCAGCCAACAAGAAAGCATGAGAGGACAGAGTCTGCAAGGCCCTGGAATCTGTTCCAGCAGGCATGCATGCCCATGGAGAAATGCCATCCTGTGAAATGAAGTGAATATTTATAAATCAGTATTTCTAAATGTATAAAAATATTGAAGTCCAAGCTTGAGGGGTTGATTTTTATACTTTTCCAAAGAAATTCTAGAAAAGCTTCTAAAAGAATCTTCTCAATGAAGGGATGAATAAGAGCTTGGAAAGGGTGTCATCCATGCAAAGGAAACTAGGCTGATAGCAGTGTTCCCTCCCAGCTTCTGATTCCAAATGTCATCTCCTTACCTCTCCTTCTATTAGCAGCTCACTGTGTGGTTTGTAGGTGATCATTCATCTCCTCTGTAACATTATTCTTCCCTCTTTCCTCTTCCAAGGCTAACAGTTTCTGCTTCTGTCACATCTCCAGTACTTTGTTTTCTTGGTTTCTCCTTCCATGTCAAGCAGCTTTAACTTTTTTAGGTCTGCAAATTTCTTCCCCTGACTCCTGCTTTTCCTCTTTCTCTCTCCCCGTCGGGTCTTATTCCATCTTGCTTTTTTCCTTGCTCACTGCAGGCCTTGAAAGGGTGGTTCAGTGGATTTTCTCTCTGTCACCCCCTTTCAACTAGGTCTCTAAAACATTCTATTGGAACTTCTGGAATAAGGATTGCTTTTGCTGAGGAAATTATGTAGACTGATAGAATCAGATTCTTTCTTTTGTCATATAATAAAAATTGTAATTATCATTTATTATGATGATGACAACAGTGATGATAATGATGATGTCTTGGCTACTAGGCAGCTCAGAACAAATTTGCTGCTCAAATGCAGGAACCATTGATAGTAGCTATTGTTGGCTGGTTTTCTAACTAGCATCAATTTCCTCCCTTTTTGTTCCTAAGAGAATCTCAACTTTCCTTTGGTGTGCCACCCACGTTGCATAGCTTTGTTCTTCAGAGGAAGGTGACTTTATTCTCAGGGACAAGAGATTCCCTCAACCTCTCACCTCCCCACACCATCCAATTACTTTACCCACATGTGTACCCGTATGTGTTTGCCACTTCCTCTGTTACCCTGATCAATCTAGTTGAGTCCAAGTAAGTGGGTCCAATCAGGCTATATGGGACCAATTAGGTTCCATGGTTGGTGATGAGGTTTTCCTGTCTCTCTTACTTTATAAAAAGCATGCTGCCCCAGCCATCTTGCAATTGCGACCAGATCCAGCCTCAGGACAACACTCACACTGAGAATAGCAGATTCCAGAGATGGGAAGAAACATTGTTGATCCTTGGACACCACTTTCCTTGCCCTCCCTTGAGACCTTCTGTTTGGTGAGATGACACAGTCCTCCATCAGGAATGGTCATACTTTTCTAGGAAAGGGCAGATAGTGAGTATTTTGGGTTTTGTGGGCCATCGACTCTCAGATCAGCTCTGCCATCGTAGTGGGAAAGCAGCCATTGACAATATATAAGTGACTGGATATGTCTGTATTCCAGTAAAATTTCATTTACAAAATCAGGTGCTAGGCTGGATATGGTCCCTTTGAGGGTTTTTGTTGCTTTTGGTCATCCTGACAGATCAACTAACCCCAGACATCTGACTGCATTACTATCTTCTGGTAATGAGTTCAAATATTTGAAAAAGTGATTGGTGTGTTTTTTGTTTTTTTTTAAAAATATGTTATTTTGAGGGGTTTTTTTTGAAACATTCATGTTACAAATTCTTCAAAAGCAGACAAATTGAAATAATTTCTTATACAATTATATCTTCTTTCTCCAAATCTTCAAATGTTTTGTCACATTTTCATGAATATTTGTCCATGCTTAGGAATCTCTGACCTTAAAATTTTCTTACCTTCTCATCTACTTCTGCTACTGCTATACTTCTCCCCATCTTTGCAAAACCTCTTTTTATCATCTAATAACTTCCAAATCCAGCCTCAATATATATGTAATATTCTAATTAACATTTCTTTATATATATCTCAATAGTATCTCAAAATGAATTCAGTGTATGGCCCTACTAACAATCCAATCACACTAGTCAAAACTAGGATTTGTTGTTGATACCACCCTCTTTTTTATCCCCTTCCCCACTAACTCATAAAATATCCTCTTGATATGACTCTAATTATTCCTTTCCATTCCCTCCACCCCAACCCTAGCCCCAGCTAGTACATTGCTTGCCTAGTCTGCTGCAGTAATTTACCAAATGATCTATCACCTTCTTTTACTCAGGTCCTAAACATCCTTCATGGCCTTATCCTGCCTGTTTCCCCAGCCTCACCGTCCACCCTGACTCTGCATGCACCAGCCTCTTAGCTCCCATCTATCCTCTGTGTTTTCCATGCTCTCTCCCACCATAGGCTGCTGATTATGCCTCCAGGAATGCTAAAGGTTAGGGCCTCAGAGTAGCAGGGAATAAGGGGGATTGACAAATTCTTTTATATGCAGGTCCCTGCCTTGCCATTTTATCAATGTTTATTGAGTGTTTTGTGTCCTTTCTCTCCCACCCTTCCTTCCATCTTCAGAATATTTATTAAGTATTTTCCTCGTGAAAGGCCATGGTTATACATTTTGTAATATAGGATGTCCACTTGAATCACATAGAGCACACGCTGCTAATAGTAAATAGTTGGAAGCAATAGTAATTCTCATAAAGCTAATATTTATTAAAGATTTATTATGTACCAGGCACTGTACTGAGTTCATAGGCTAATCTAACCCTCAGAACAATGCTACTATGTTAAAATTCTTATCACCATTTTATAGATAAGGAAACTGGAGCTTAATTTTTCTCAAGGTCCTACAACTTGCAAGTGTTAGAAACATGACACAAATCCCTTCAATCTGACAGCAATGTCCACACTCCTAGCCCCTGCATGGTGTTGCTTCTTAAGCCTCATCATAAACTTTTTAGGGAAGAATTAAAGTGAAACAAAACCCAGGGAGAAGGGCCAGAAAAAAAAAGGATCTCTTTTTAGATATTTCAGACCAGGACTACCTCAATTTGTGTTGTGATTTCCTAGATCTGGGGGAAGACACAGACATCTCCTGGGTGAAGGGGGCTCCAAGAAAGTCAGCAGTCTGACAGAAGCTGTGGATAACTCCCTTTTTTCTTGTTGCTTTAAAAATTAGGACAACTGGGAAAACAAAGAAGTCCCTTCTCTCCTCAAACATGATAAAACAAAGGGATACTCTGCAGTGATGGTATACCCTACAGCCAATATAGTCCTCAATATTTTCAGAGCACAGTCATTCTTTGATATAACCCGATGATTATGCTTTTCTCCAAACCCCAGAGTACTGGACTTGTCCTTCAGATGGTGAACTGAGAGCCACAGGCTTCCCTCATCCTATCATTGACCAACCCAACCCTGTGCCCTACTCTCCATTCACCTATTAGTCCACACTCAGTGGAAGACCCCATATGATTTACTGCTGAAAGTATAAATGAGCAATAGTAAGTGACCTCCTCTTGTCAAAGGGGTACTTAAAATCACCAGGCAGGAAGGTCACTGCGTGTGCTAGAGACAGCAGTAATTCTTTGCAGAAAGGAGGTGAAATGATTAGAAAGACAGGTCAAGGGATAAAATGGAGTAAGTAGATGAGTGGAGATTTGTGGGTGAACCATCAAGGCCAGTGTTTCCATTTTCCCACCACTGCTGTCAGGAAGCAATTGCTCCTTTGTTCATGTAAATGACAGGCTTTTAAGAGGTGGACCTCAGCCATTAATTTTAAACAAAAGCCTCTCTTTGGTTGTCTCTGGTGGATCAAGCTACTTTCATGAAATAGCAATAAATTGCACTGGTTTCCCTTGGAGTAGAAGACTGTCCCACCCCTCTCACTCAGCTTGGGAGGGAATGGATTTGTTGTTGTTGCTGTTGTTTTAAGAGAAAGAGAAGATGATGAATCTCATTCCTGCTAAAAGTTTAGTAAGGAATGATATACAATTTAAAGTATTTATTTTCAGTACCTTGTTTTGTTCTTTTCTCCAGATTTCACCAGCTCCTCCCTATCCTCCCATACACACACTTGCAGCTTTTTTTCAACCTCATCACAGTTCCATTTATGCTCAGGGACCCAGTCAAAGTCATTTGCAAGGACCATCTAAGATCCAGGGACTCAGTTCCTGGGGTCATTCTTTCTCTTTCAAAGTCATCATGTGACTGATTTCAGTGGTCTCCAGGAGACTAATTAATGGCATTTTTCATCGAGGAGTCTCTCCCTTCTGGCTGATGTTACCCATATCTAGACTTCATCTCTTCCTTTAGGGACACCCAGGTCTGGGGTTGTGGTTCTGAATGGGAACTACTTGAACTAGGAGAGCTCGACTTCATTTTGTGCAAAAGGTGAGCCTGAGCCTTGTTTTCCACACATGTGAAGAGGAAGCTCACACACCTCCTGTGAACTGGGAGAGGCTCTCAATACCAGTTGCTGCACAGAGCAAACCAGTAACGAGTAGCAGAGCCAGTTTCAATCCATTGGAGAGAAATGGTTCCCAGAAGCAGCTCTGAAACCATCAAATAGCCTAAAAAAGGACCTCTTTTTAAGTTAAGATGATTAGGTAAAGCATAGTTAGAAAGTCAGCATTCTGGACAAGAGGTGCACACGTGCAGTCTTCTGAAAATCTAAGAAATGATGGTGTGGTGCTCTTAAATATTTATATGAGAAGGTGAGAACCTGCCAGTTTCCTTAGCTAGAGGCGGCGTATTTTATGCCAAATATGAATCATCCTGTAATTTTCTTTCTCAAAGGGACTATACTACTGGTCATAAATCAGTGCACTAGAGTGATCCAGACACTTTTATCTGTTTATAATCTCTTTTTCCTCCAG